TAGAGAGAATATGTACTTATTCTCTTATAATATTTTAGGGGGGAGGGAGGCAGTGTGGTCTAGTGGCAAAGGTGCGAGACTCGTAACCGCGAGGACTCGGGGTTTGCGAGTCCATTTGACCACAGTTGAAATTTTAATGTTTCGTCTTTCAGAAGAAAGACATTAACCTGTTGGTTTTCTTTCACGGGTAGCAAATGGACACTGCCTACGTGTGACATGGGTAAAAAGAGAAGGCATATTTATGTACCATATGTACCTTAAACCTTAAATGCTCCGTGGGGTCCAGTGGACTCCAGACCTTTTAGAATGAAATGTTTTCAAATGTTCTTGCCAAAAATAGAGCTCATGCTCCCATTGATGATAGTTGAGTGATTGACCTACCCGTTTGTACACTTAGCAGTACTCAGTTTACTTAATTTTTTATACTATGTTGAAATTGAAATTTTAACAATATAAGCATTTTATTCTCTTTTCTAAGCCTTGAACAACATTGAAAAAAATTTTCATAACTGAAGATCAAAAAATCAATGAATAAGGAGACATTTTTCATGCTGGGGTCTTTTAGACCCCTCATGTCATTTACGAGATTCTTGAAAATTAATTAAAAATCTATGCCAAGTGAAATATCAAATATTGCAAAAATTGGACGATAAATCCAACAAACCGAGATTGGATTTATCGTCCGATTTTTGCGATATTTGATATTTCACTTGGCACACAGAATTCGCGAAAAGTCGCGCTGTCGTGGTCACGAGATAGGTCGGCTCGCTCTCGAGGGATCAATCCCACTCATTGGTGGGATAAGGTTACTATCATGCAGGATACAATGTCCAAACGCGTAATCCTCCCCTAAGTTAGTCCGAGTGCTGATAGTTGTGACGCGATCAAAGCTATATTATATGCGTGCTGCACGCATCATATGGCACATATATTTTCTATGCCGCGAAAATGATATGCCGATGTTGTGCGATATAGCGAATGTCCAAATATTTGTGAAATTTGATCAGTGTCGCTGACTGTGTATAATATTTACTTGAGAAATATATATTGAGTCCAACTGCTTCTTGTACCAGTTGTTGGCATAATAAACATCTTAAACTTTTGGCTTTTCAATATAATATTATAAATGCTGCAACTTAAATAGCTATCCAAACAAATTTCTGTTTGCCTTTTAACAGCAAGAAACTAGCGACTATCTCTTTTTCAAGGAAAAACTTAGTAATGCGTGTGTGTGTTTAACCTTTATCTACAATATGTAAAACTATAAAGAGCATATATTTAACGGATAGATAAGAATAATTGTGCATACTTTTTTTCAACTTTTATTCCACTTTTTTTATTTTTATCATGCTTCAACGTAAATATCGATATCATTCTCAATTCTGTTAAATCGTGAAAGCGAACCTCTCGGAGTTGACATAATAAACAATAATTATTTATTTATTAAAATCAACGTGCAAATTTCATGAACAAAATGAATTATCTTGCCGGAAATAACGGTTTACACGACTTGTGTTTCGGTTCGCTCAAATTGTCCGGTTGAAGTCCATTCACCGTTTCACTTCTCCCTTTTGTGATGCAACTGCCGGACTACAACGAGAGTACCAACTCGATAAACTTTGTTCAACCCCCGTTGTTAGGGGGATCAACGTTATGACGCGCGACCACGCTACCGTAATCGAAAAATCGTCGTGCAAGGTGCGCTGGAACCAAGGCCAGGGTCGCGGCTTGTGCACACGTTGTCGTCGTCGCCGACCGTATTATTCGCGAGTCGCCGCAGTGCCGATCTCGTGACCTCGTCTCGCGACTACTACGGCATCCGTGATCTCCTATTAGCGTACGGCGAGTCTCTCCCCCTTCCCATTTTACTCCGAGAGAAAACCTCCGGGCGCTATATCAATGTTAATAATTGTGAACGGCCAACGGCGCTCCGCGGCCTTAACGTTATATCATCGAAATTGAAATCACATTTAGGTAAAAGCCGCGGCGGCATCACGTGTCTCGGGGAAGATGACGGGTATTATCAATTTATTGATTCGATTATATAAATGGTCACGCTAAAACCCTAGATATTTTCGTCCCGCGGACACAGAGGAGCACGCTTGTTTTCAACGTGAAAAGTCGCGTATATACGCTTTTCAATCATCGTGAGAGTATAGTGAGAGTACAGCCGCGCGCCACAAAGAGATATTGTTCAATTGAACGGGCTGCAGTCTCGTGGCTTTTCCACCCCGTCGCATGTCTCCTCCCCGCTCCGTCTCGCCTGACGGAGGGAGCGGATTAGACCGAGCCAGTCGACGGGAATCAATCGCGTCTCGCCTGACAAATTATATAATAGAAAAAAAAAAAAAATGAGGAGTACGTGGACGAAAGCGATCAAGGCTTTCGATACTCTCGGCCGGAGGGGATGAAAGAGCGAGAAGCCGAAGGAAACGTGTGCCGCCGATCGGGATCGCGCGCGCGGACACACTGTATCATTGCGGCGATCAATCATCAGCGGACTTTGACGATACGTTGCATGCAAAGTGCATCGATTTCGCTACGTGCGACGACGAAAAAGCAACGGCATTACGTGTATGCGTCAGGACACGCGACCTTGACCCCTGAATGCCTTTCCACGCCGTATATACGTTGTAGGAACCAGTAGTGTCTGGCGGTTTATTCCGGGATAAACTGCCAGGGCCTGCGCACAATCATTTTCGTGTGCTGGCTCAATCTAATGGTGTTGTGATTCTTCCGGCATCACTCTCTCTTTCTCGCGCGGTTATCAAAGCGCGGCGGGGTTCTCATAAATCCGTATTACATATCGAACGCGCGCGCGATCGTCGCCGCGCGTTTCGACGATGGCACGCGAGGCTCGTAAAGCGGGACACACGTATCCGAACGAAAGCATCCACTTTAACAATTGTGAAGGAATGTAATGCGAATGAAACACGCGTTTCTGAACGCTGGGGAAAATCGCGATACAAGAAAGATGAGATATCGATGAGATGGAAATCTAGGCGATATTTCTAAGTTGAAATGCGTGCTAACGTCAACGAAAAAGAGTTGAATTATTCACGTTTTCGTTGTAAACGACCTTAACGTGACACTGGGAAAACACGGGGCCACATACACAGCTTTCGCTAAAGTAGAATGAATTGATAATGTGAGATATCGAGGTTGATAAAATTCTCACTAATTATCAGTTTCCAAACTGGCTCTGGGCTTTGAAATATGAATCGGCTTGTCACGTATCTTTTTCATCGTCTGCTCACAGAATATGCATGAAATAATAATCTCGTGCAATTATCTGTAGCATGCTTATCATGTTGTTAACCGTTGCGATTTTGTTTATGGTTTTCGAAATGATTTAAATATGAGCATTACTTATAGAATACGCAGGCCGTATACATAGTGTGATCGATAGCTCGCGTGTATCACGTGTTATTGGATAATAATTAAAGTTTTATGGTTTCTACGATATTTTCTTTGAGCATTTAATTTCCAAATATTTCAAATACGTTATTCTTAATTGTTAAATAATAATTTCAATGAGTTTTATTTTCGACAAAGATGTTCATAAAAAGACTTCACGCGCAATTCTCTATAATCAAAATATGGCAATATAATTATCCGACTTGACGTCATCTTGACAATTTGAAAAGTTAAAAGTAGCTGCCGTGCAAAAGCACAATTACTTTTATCGATCTTTCTTATTTCTCAAACTGTTAACCTGACTACTTTACCTGACTACTTTAGTACTTTACCTATTATGCTATTCTTGGGCAAAATTTATGTATCCTTTGTTTCGCTCGTTATTTTCATCCAGTATATATTCAATTAAGGAACTCCTCGATGCGACATAAATACGCTGTTAACGTTTAGCATTTATTTTAAGTGGAACAATTGTACCGGCTAATTCAAACAAAATATGTATTCCTGTTATGAGAAGATAAAGTTTTTTTTTATATTTTATAAACCCATGTAACACGGGTTCATATAACACAGATTCCTATAACATGACGGAAAAGTTTTAATAATATTTGTTTTAAAAAATTAAAATAACAAATATTTTACCGTTACATCCCACATTTTTGAAATAAATCTTTTATAAATATGTGTTTCCACAATTCCACATGCACAATCCATATATGTATAATCTATGTGACGCATGTGACTCGTATAACACGAATTCATACAACACGGAACGCATCCCCTGTATTATATATGGAATAAGGGTCTACTGTATTATATAAGGAATGAAAGAGAACTATATATAAAAGAATATCAAAAGTGACAGAGTTATCTTTAACCGGGCCGGGCATTGCCTTTGATTAGATTCTTTCTGATCCTCCTCCACCCCTCTCTCTCTCTCTCTCTTTCTATATATGTTTTTACTGTCTCGAAAATATCTACCCTTTCACTGCAAACAGCGTCTTTGCTAAAGTTGACACATGCGAATATAAACACTTTTCTACTCATTCCAATGTAAATGTCACTTTGAATTCCACGTTTCATGAAAAATAAATTTAATCTACTTTTATAAAATTTTGTTAATAATAATTTATGCCATTTAATTATAAGGAGAATGTTTCACTGATATTATAAATTTCTTGCAGTTTCAACAAACCGTATTAACTTATATGCGAGATAGAGTCTGGGAATTCCATTTCTACGTGGCTAACGATTGGCCAGAGGACGCAATCTGTTTACATTTTCCCGGAATGACATTATCTGTAAGTATAAATTATTAAATTTACGGGAGAAGGAGAAGTTTACCTGATGCAATCTTAAACAAAAGTTGTTATTTCTGTAATAGTATTTTACTTGAGATAACATTCATCCCACTTACCGTCTTAATTACATTGTTGCACTTCAAAAAGTTGCCCACTTACAAAATAATCTAATTTATTTCATAGTGCGTACGTGTAACTTTGGTTATATATGGTCTACATTGTTTAACATCTCTTTATACTGCAAGATATATAGCAGATCGTTAAAAAAACTGAAATTAAGCGAACCATTTCGATTAGAAAACAATAATTTGATCGCCGCGGCACCACGACGAATCGTTAATTTCAAGAGATCGCAAAAACGCCAAATATCAAAAAAGTGGCCTTGCCACGAAAATTATTATGTGCTTCCAGACGCGCCATTTCTCAATGCAGAGTTGCGAGAGTGTATTGGCCCACATCCCACAGACTTGGCTATCCGCCAAATTTTCGCCTTCCTCTTTGCTCCCTCGACACGAATCGCGACGCGCTTAATCCCAGCTTCCCGATTCCTCTCAAGATAATTTTGTATATGCTTTTCAATTAATTACCAGCTCTGTAGCACCATAAATTCGCTGGTCATTGATTATTAGTTTTGCACACGTAACGTCGTATTCTCTGGCAAAGAATTTTAACCGCGCCAAGAACCGCATTGTATCCTTTGACATTTAGCACCCGCCGCGTTAATCCGCATTCGTGCCGCATACTCGGTAATAAGCGACTATTCCCTACCAGTGTTTTTCGACACGTAAACATAGATTGAAATATAAAACGCATACTTCATCGTTTAGTCTTAAATATGAAGCATGTCTCACTGGCGTGCATCAAAGTATCTAATCTTCTATTCCTAAGCTCTTGCAGATTCTAGAGAAAGCCGCGCGTAAATTATGACAACAAGCGGTAAATAGACCGTAAAGACTTTACGATCTCCCAGTATTATCGTTCGCACATAGCCTTTTCTCTATACACTGGCGATGCTAATCGCATCTTTATGCTTTCAGCCACACGGTTTGGTGTACGAGAGTGTCGGCGTCTTCTGCCCGAACGACCGGCTGGAGTTGCTTCGCCTTCTCCGAGAGGAGGACATTCTGATAGACTGGTCGAGACCTTTGTACATTAATTTCGTTCACTCCGACATTGCCGAGGAATTAACGCGTCTTTACGAAGGTACCGGCACCATCGAGACAGTGGTGGGCGATGTCTGCGCGTGCGATTACTTGGAGCAGGAGGAAGAAAGCCAAGAGGAGGAGTCCGACTCTGACGTTCAGGTGCGGCAACTCAAGGCCGAGCACGCCGAGGGAATCCACGAATTGTATCCGGCGAACGACATGGAATGTCACGAGGTTTTCCTTCGACTTATCAGGACACTACCCGCGGCGGGAGTGTTCGCGAAGGGTAGCTTGGCCGCTTGGATGGTCCAATCCTATTACGGAGCTATGTTCTCCATGCAGACCAAGCCGGAATATCGTAGGAAGGGGTATGGGACGAAGTTAGCAAGGTAGGGAAGAGCCTTAATAGCGTTCATACAAAATTTTTGCAATTAGTAATAACGCTTAACTAGATAGTCGTAGGTGTACTTGATTCATCCACGCTAAATAAATATTATATCGCGATGTTGTCACGCACACGCCGAAATTGAGATATAATGAGATTTATGTGTGTCTGTGAAATTTTAGGTACCTGACAAAACGCGTAGCCGAGAAAGGGTATTATCCGTTTGTAGTTATACGTCCAGAAAATGAAGCTAGTCAAAGCTTGTACAAGAAGCTGGGTTTTAGACGGCTATACCAACTCGTTCGTATGATTTTTATGCCTTTCACGTGGCAAGAGAGCGAGAACGACGCGAATATTCTTAGGGATAACTTGGAGAACGCCGTGAGACAGCTCACGATCGAGCAGAGGGTAATAACGGCGTTACACGGCCAGGAGAGGAACGAGGAAACGATACGAGATCCCGCGGGAATCGCGGAGGACGAGCCGATCGTCGACAAGTCCGAGGGTGGAGAGGAGGTCGAGGAAGAACTTTTCGAAACCATCGAGGAGCAGTCTGAAGAGAGGACAGACATCGCGGATAGTAACGCGGACGGCACGACGAACGAAGATGCGCCGGAAGTTGTGGGAGTTAACGGCTCTTGCGAGTGCGAGACGGATGCCGGCGGTGGGGACGAATAAGTTTCTAGAAAAACGTTTATGCGATAAACGACGGTCCATAATTCGATACGTTTTGTTTGCTCGAAGACACGCTCTTCACCGTGGGACATTGACAAATAGCGAAGTATTTAAGAAAAATTACGAACGAAAGTTACACGAGTGCGGAAAGTTCTTAGAAATGGACTTGCTTGTATATAACTTTCCTAACAGTTGTTTGAAATCTACTTAGTTCGATAGATATAAACGTCCATTTATAAATAATGACGATTTACGTGAATCATATTCAATAATGATTCACGGTGAATGATATATTACTTTTAAATTATTATCGACGATACATTGAACACATGTGACAACTTTCCGAAACACGGGATACACACATACACAGCGATATATTATACGGGATTTCGGTTGTACTATTAACTAAATGATAACGATACGCCATCATGTGAGGGAAGCTGCATTCTTCGAGCGATAGAAACGGAAGAAGAGAGTCAAAGATAGAAAAAGTATTTTAAGAGATTTCAACATTATGGCACCGCGTTCGTGCGAGGCTTCAGTATTCACATACGCGGAATCAAAATTCCTCGTGTGATTCCTCATATCAGACTCTTTCCAAAACGTCGTGAAAAATCTCAGGTATCGAATAGCTACGTACCTTTGGGTTGCCAATGTTATAGTCTCGTTAAAGTCTATCTTGTATCGTTCTCCTATTACGTTGGTAAATATATAATTTGAGAAAAAGAAAGGTCGTTGATGTTATCAATGATTCGTCATAAAAAAAATGCGTTTAGAGAAACGCATCTGTTTAATATATACTTTAATCTTTCTAAATAAATTAAATAGAATTGTCATATTGTGGTTGACCATTTGTGTCTATATTTCGCGTTTTCTCCACGTTTGTTCAACGTTTCTCGTCTACTTCGCCATTATTATTGATAAAGAATATACAATGCGCGGTGTACGACGACATTTAATTATTAGGAAATTTCGTATTAACGTTTTCTACATCGTTATCGAGTTCCAAAACTCGCAAATTTTATGTATTGATTTCTAGCTACTTAGAAAATCTCTATAATAAATAGACTTTGTTGTGGGACAGGGGGGGTTCAGATTTGACTGTTCCACGAATTTGTAAGTCTAAAGTCGTCACGAGCGGTGGAGGGCACGCTAATTTTCACCAAACGCGAAGTGACTGCGGGGTTACTCAAACTGTGATTATAATTTTCATGTATAAAGTAGAATCTCGAGAGAAAAATATGACGAAGCCTCGTGCGATCTCGACACGCTTTTCTCGATATAATAGACGTAATTTGCTGTGCCGGTGCAATACAAATACAAGTTGTGTGTGTGTGAGTTCTTGACAGAAATTCGTCACGCCAATATCGACCTCTTACATTCCTCAATATGCATACGATTATATTCCATAATTTATAGATTATAGATATTTCAAAGTTAAATAATTATAAATATAATTTCGTTAGGAAAAAAACGCTTTGCTTCGGTGACCGCGGGAAATTGAACGAATACAATTTTCTGTACTGTTTTACGCACCGTCACAGCGATTACCTTAGCGTGCGAGTTAATAATAATGATAATATTAATGATAAAAAAATAGAATAATTAATATTATTATTA